TTCTTTTTTTTGTAATTTTTTTTTTCTTTTTGTTTTTGTGTAAAAAGAAAAATTAAACTTTATTATTATTTTCTTTTCTCATGTATAGTGATGAACGTCAATAACAAATTTGTTCTTCGATAAAGTTATAAAAAAAAACAAAAAGTTTAAATGTTGTTTTTATATTGGTAAATGGAATGCAATTAAGATGTAAAAATAGAGAAAACGTTTTACTATTAGATAAAAATAATTCTTCAATCATAAAATGTTGAGTTTTTTTTATTTAAAATCATAATGATTGAATTTCTATAAAACAGTGCAAAACTCTAACATTTTGGTTGAGTTAAATGTTTAGGTCTGGAAAACTTTAATCAGAGAGTTGTTGTCTTTTTATAATTTCATGTCATATGATATGATGATGGTTGTATTGATTGTTAAAAAAAAAATTAATTACTTTTTTATTTTCTAATATAAAATGAATGTCTACAAGAAATTTATTAAAGATAAATGATAAAATATAATAAATATTTATTCTATTAGTTCGTTTAGATTCTCTCGTCTTATGAGAAAATTAACCTTGACATGATTAAAACTTGTGATTAATTTTGTTTTTAGAAAAATAATTTTTTTTTGTAATGAAATTCTTAATAATTGATAAAAAAAAATGAGTCAATTATTTTTAATAGATTTAATAGTCAATTACTTAACATTCTAAGTCTGAGAAACTCGTTTGTAATAGAGATATTTTATCTAGTACAATATTATAGTTGTATATGTTTATGACTGTCGATAGACGAATACGATGATTTATGGATTCTTAAACTACTATTAACTATTTCTATAGACGAAGAACGATGACGTATGATAGTTTTAAGCATAAGGTTATAAAGATATGTAAGCGTATTATTGACTCATATAAAGCGTTAAATATATCATTGTTGATGAATATCGTGTTCTTTATTCTAGAATTGTTTCATTGACTGATACTGTTTATCAACTTTTGAAAAGTTTTACTGATTATATAGAGAATAGTTTGTTGTACGAGATCAATTTGTTCTTGAGTCACAGTATTATTTCAAATGTATTACAGACCATTTTTTTTTCTGATTTTTGTTATAATTAAAATTTTCGAGAAATATTAAAATTAAAAATATATAGCGATGGATTATGTTGAAACAATAGTTTTTCTTAGTAATCTTTTTTGAATTTTTTTTTTAGAAATAATTAAAACATAAGCAGTCATATTCATCTTCCTTGAAAAATATCATTGATATTCAACAATGTAAATATAATGACATTAAAAAAAAAATCTATTAAATAATATTGTAAATATAATTGAAATTTTAAAATGATTTAAATCTATTGTATTCAAAGTAATCATATGATAAATACTATAGAGTAATCATGATATAATAGATAAAGATGTTCTTGTAAATATTAGTAAAATCATATGACTTCTAAAGATATGCTTGTCAAAGAGTAATAGCTAATGTTTGTTTACTTCGATAAATATTAATTATACAGATACGTATGCATCAACACTGCTGATAAAAGAGTATTAACATACAATGACCTGTAAAATAAAACATACGATACCTCATCATGTAAAAAAAATTAGTCTCTTAAATGCATGAGATAAATTTTGTAATTTAATATTTTTTCGATTCATTAACTAACTTTCAGATTATATAACTATTAATAGCAGTTAAACATACAATAATTAATAAGAATATACATTTATTTCATTTTGTACGTTATTGTCATGTAAAAGAGACTAAACAAATACGAATCCATCAATCTAATGTCAAACATATGATAATGCTGATTGTATATGAAATAAAACATAAAAATGTAAATGTAACATAATAATTTATTATTCATTAGTTAAACTAATTAAAACGATACTTGTTAGTTTGTATAGAATTATCATTAACAGAAGTTCTTTTACCATGAACTTATGGAAAAAAATATTGACTCTTTCAGTTCAAATGTAATTAAATTTAATTGGCTAATTATTTGATTAATTAGAATCTAATTAACGAGTAACGTTCTGAATTTATGATGAAAAGTCCAAGATACACTTCATACAACAAGTTATATAGATAATGAAATTTTCAGAAAAGTCCGAGTTCAAAAAATGACTTCACTGAAACTAATTCTCTACTCATGTCCCAAAACGAGACTTTTTAGTCTATTACTAGCTTGAGATCTCCATGAAAGATTGATACTATTGAAAGTTAGTTTTTTGTGCCAAGTCACTAGCATTAATTTCTCAATGATAACTTGAGGAAATAAAGGCTTAAGAATTGAGATTTCCAGGGTATCTAGAGTAACTCAACATATATTTAATAGATAAAAATTAGCTAAAATAGATTTTTAGAGATGTACATATTTTAATGGCATGACATCATGTTGCTAACAAATGATATTGTTCGTACAACAAGATTTCCTTATTTGAACTTACCATTTTATTCAAATCTTCTATTTTATTGTAATGAATAAAGGAAAAAATGATAATCAGGTGAATAAAGAAAATTTCTCTTTCTCTGTTGCGTAATTTTTTTTTTGTCATAATGATCAAGCTAAGTTGACAAGGAATTTTTTTCATTTAAAAGTTTTCTTAACTTTTATCTAGAAGAATTTATGACTACAAATTAGTGTAAAGACGAGTAATCGTAATTAGATTTGATTTTTCTGATATAGCAGATGAACATTCACTTAAATTGTAAACAATGAATTAGAAATACTCAAATAAATATTATTATATCTTTTTTTGACTTTTGTCTAGTACTAAAATATGTCTAATGAAATTTGAATATATTTTTGTATACCTAGTAGATTAATGTGTTTTTCTATTGATGATTTACGTGTTTAAATTTTTGAAAATGGGATAAAGAACACAAAAAAATTTAATGAAAGTTCTTAAATAATGATATGTGAGACTATGTTTTTTGGTAATTTAAAACATGGTTTTCATAAGAAGCGATGAATCATTTAGTTAGATTTTCTCTTTATTCCTTTCGAAACAATAAGACAAAACTGACACAGGTAGTAAGTGATCTTGAGAGTATAAGAAGTAAGAGTGAGCTACTATTAATCGATGGTTATATAGCCTAGTTATTCTTATTATAGTAAAATATTCAAGTCATGATACTATTTTAAAAATTTTTTTGAATAAGAAAAGAAATCAATTTTCAAAACCTGTTTAGAATCACATTTGAAAATGCTTTCTTTATCAAGTAAAATACTCTATGCTTGTCGTTTTGATAGGAAAAACTTCAAACTATTAGTTTAAAAGAGTCATAAAAATGGAGTCTGTCGAAACTTCTCATTCGCTTAGAATAATCTCTTTTACATCTTAACACTTATATTATTAAAATAATAAGTTATCTAACTAATTATACACTTTTAATAAAGCATATCAATGATTAAATAATTGCTACTCCAGTAGGAGTAAACAATATATTCTAAAGTGATCATGACTTCTATAAACTCAGAATTTGAGTATCAACCACAAGCTATTACGGAACCGTCGAAGGTAAGGTAACGAATTACAGGTTAGTTCACTTTGTTACCTTCGACATATTCCTATTACACTTCAAACTTATCTTTAACCTAATCCTTCACTGTCATCTTCGGGTTCAAAACTATTCTTAATGTAACCTTTGATTTGAATATGTATTTGCTCATTTTTCTATGTAACATATTGAAAAGCTTTATTTAATATAAAATTTTAAATATGATAGGAATAATCTAATTTCAAAATCATCTATTCTTATAAGAAAACTTTTATTTATAAAAAATATCAATTTGGTTATATACAATATTAAACATAAGATCAAACACAATTCATTTTAAGTTTCATCATATTGTTCAAGATCTTCATTTAAATATTTTTCTAATCGTTTGGTACCAATTTCATCAAGAATTTCACGTGGAAATTCATCACGATATTTTGCAACACATTTTAAACAAAATCTTCTTGTATAAAATAAACTACAATCTGAATGAACACATACTGGACATGAACATACAGAACATATTGAACCAATAATTAATGATGATAATTTTTTTTGATCTTCTTTATCTTTAATAGCAACAAATGGATCACGAAGAAGATATACTTTTTCAATCAAATCAATTGTTATAGATGGTTCTTTTTTATTTTTAGTATTTTGTGTTGTTGATACAGATGACGGAATAGATTCATTAATATACTTTGAATCATATCGATCATATGCAGCATAAAATGGACATAGAGAACATTGAAATACTTTTGGTTCAACGCTTTCCTGTTCAGTCATCTAAAATATTAAAGAAAAAAAAAAACATCAATTTATTGTAACACAAATTTTACATAAAAACTGTATATTTTATTGTTAGTAACATCTGCAAGTGAAATCTTTTTAAATTCATCTCTAACTAATTTTTGAAGAGATGTTAATCAAATAGTTTATGAATTGAATATTTCTCTGACATCTACTTTATTGAAAGAAATATTGGCAATCGTTCGCAAGAACCACACATAAAAAAAAATGATTGCCTAATAGTATTTTTTTTTTATCTTCATTATCTGTTTAGTCTTTAAGATGGAATTCAAGTATTGAAGAGTGTGACTGTATCAATAGACAAACTGACCAATCTTTTAATTGCTCACACCAACGTGCACATCTACTATATAAAGATAAAATAATTAAGCTATTAATTAAATACAATTACAAAGGAGACAGTTGGTGTTTTTTTTTTAAACTAGATGATTAGACAAATCTAGATTCTGATTCACTGATGATTATTATTTGAGATAGTTTTCTATAATGATTATTAAATATAGATCGAATAGTTTTAATTGATAAGTTGATTTTTAAAAACAAAACAAAACAAAACTTTATTACAAAAATAAACACAAGATATGGATTTATTAACGGTTTAGAAACAAAATACACACTACAACACGATGAAATAAAATATCACAATATTTATTTTTAAAGAAAAAAAAGGAAAATATGAAAAACTCAATTTATTCATGGATCTTTTCGACGTTTAAATTGTGTTATAAGATCCTAAAATAAATATTTTGTTTCACTGATGAAAATAAAATGAGTCAATTTTTTTTTTTACCTTTGGTATTTTCGTTCCAAGAACAAGTTTCATTTTATGTTTCTGTTCTTCTTCTTCTTCTTGTTCATTTATAGTCGATATTTCATTATTATTAATTGCATCCGAATTAAATAAAATCGAATTATTTGTTGTTCCTTCTACTCGTCCTCCTCCTCCTGTTGTTGTTATTGTTGTTGCTAATAATTGTTGATTTTGTGCTCGAGTAGATTTTCCAATAAATGGTAATCTTAAATTAATATTTTGTCGAATAGCTTGAGAAAGTAATACTGTTTTAACATCAGATTTTATAATTAAAACAAGATCATGCCAACTACATGTTAAATTACGATATTCAAGTGTTGGAAATGATATATGTGCATTTTCTAAATCTCCAATCTTTTTTTCTTTTGTACCCTTTAAAAATAAAATTAATTAATGAAAATTAATATATTCATCAAATTTTTTTTTTTTACTCGAAGTTTATATGAAACAATTAATGATACTTCAGGAATTTTAATATATTGAAATGATAATGTATTTTTTGCACGTTTTTCCATTGCATCAAGATCAACATTACTAAAGTAGAATAATGATCGACCAGTTAATAATTCTTCTTCACCCTAAAATAAAATTTGAAAACAAATTTATTTTAATTAATAGAATTAAAAAGAAAAAAATAAAACAGGCATTGAATTTTAGTCTGTGAGTAACCCAATAAACATACACACACACACGCATACATGAAGAAGAACAAGAAGACTAGTATAAGAGGAACAAGAGATTGATGTGCGTATAAAAACTGCGATCGAAAAAAAAAAATTCAGGAGAGGTAATAATACCCATCGAATATCATTCGAAGTACGACGACTGAATCGACGTAACATAGTCTATAGAAGTAAATATTATCGACGAATATTATCCTTTTTGTTTTATTTTATTTTTTTTTTACTATTTTATTCTTTTTATGAAGAAAAATAAAAAAAAACTTTCTTTTTTTTTCATATTTTTACTTACTTCAGCTGATCTTGTTCGACGTTTGAATGCAGTTGAATTTGTATGTTTAAGTGAAGATTTATTCGATCGATTATTATTTGTTTGTTGTATTTCATTATGTTGTTGAGTTTTATTAGGAAAAAGAAATGCCATTAACATTTGAGAAAAACGACGTGTCATTTGAATAACAAGTGGTGCTACATTAATTTCTATATGAAAAATTTTATTGAATTTGAAAAAGAATGAAGAAAATATTTTTTTTTTATTACCAAGATGTTCTTTTACAGCAATACCACCCACAGATTCTCCTTCTTTACAATAAACACGTATCATTGTATGTTGTTGTTGACAATTTGATGTTAGAATTGTTCGATATCGATCATCAGGTAATAAATTTTCAACTTGAGCTTGACCAATACTTATTGAATGTTCATTTGTACCATTTTCAAAATAACGTTTAGTATACCTTACAAAAAAAAGAATAGTATATAAATATATAAATAATCTTTTTAAGTTTTGTTACTGATTAATAATCAAAAAGCGAAAGAGAAAGAATATTATTTAATCAATATCAATGTTTTTATTAAAAAATAATTTGATTTTGAAAGAAATCGAAATTTGAATTCTAATTGATCATTATTAGAAAATGATTGCCTACAGCAAATTATTTTCGTCAGAACTGAACTAAAGAGTCAAAGATACATGTGATGAGTATATAGAAATCTAACGAGGGAACATTCCCAGGTGTTGGAATGCTTTTGAGTCGGGACTTTGCGCATCTTGTAGGCCTTGATGAATTATGTCTACCGTAAAAAAAGTTCATGCCCCCAGCTTGTTCCTGGTGAGATATCGAGGATTTAGTAAATTTTTCCCATAAGACCCCACATTTGCAGCAAGGCCATATTTTTTAATTTTGATCTGAAACTTTGTCCACATAAACATCTCAGCTAGACTAGTTTGCACAAAAATTTTCAGAACTTTTGGACAAAGTCTCTCCGAGATATGAAGCTCTCAACGTATAGGCCGTTTTCCATAGATAGCGTATAAAGCATGCATTTTTTGAAAGCGTCATATCTCGAAGACATTCTGTCCGAAAGTTCTGAAAATTTTTATGCAAACTAGTCTAGCTGAGGTGTTTATGTGGACAAAGTTTCAGATCAAAATTAAAAAATATAGCCTTGCTGCAAATGTGGGGTCTTATGGGAAAAATTCACTAAAACCTCGATATCTCACTAGGAACAAGCTAGGGGCACGAACTTTTCTTACGGTAGACATAATTCATCAAGGCCTACAAGATGTGCAAAGTCCCGACTCAAAAGCGTTCCAACACCTTGGAATGTTCCCTCGTTAGGGTCATACGTCGAAATACGCTGTGTTGATGTAAATATCAAACTACTGTAAGTGAGTCGTCTATGCTATCAAAATATGTTCTTTTTGTAGTAGGATACTCCAATGTCCCCGGTGAGTTTTGTGAGAAGCATTTATTCTTATAATAATTTAGTATAAAAAGAAAATCAGTTATTTATTGATGATTATCTTAAGAGAAAAAGAAGGCTGAGATAATTTCAATGAATGTCAATCGAGTAGGAAACAGTAGCGACTTTAGTCTTGCAATTTGTTATTTTCTTCTCGATATCAGTAAAACGATTACATGATTTCTAGAATATTTATTAAGCAAAATCTGAAATTCTGAAACAAAAATTTTTATTCCTATTTTCTTTTTTCCTTACAAAATATTTCTTAATAGAAATTCTGCATTTGTAATTTGTCCATCTTCATGTTTAATAAACCATGTAATTGAACCACCATGAAGTTCATATCGTCGTTCCAATCGAGCAGTTTTATTACCTTTAAATAAATTTTCCATTAGAATTAAAAAACAATTTAAACATACTTGTTGCTGCTATTCTTAATTTAATAAGTCGTGCTAATTGCATATCTTTATAAACTGCACACATCATGCCTAATTTTTCTGCTAATTTATTTAATTGAACTTTAACGGAAGTATATAATGTTTGTAATTTTTCATTTTCTTCTGATGTATATGAAAGTGTATGATCTCGAACACCACCACCACCACCATCTTCTTCGTCAGATGAATAAGAATTACTAATGAAAAAAAAAATTTCTATTTTGTTTGAAAAACATTGAAATATTATAATTACACTAAATTAGTATTTGCTCGACTTAAAAAATAAATTTCTCGTTCAAGTCTTCGTAAATTAGCTAATGTTGATCTAATAGAATATGAAATAAAAACGTAATTTTATTGTCTGTTTATTGTTAATATATTTTACCTAACACGTTCAAGTAAATGACGAATACTATCACGTAAAACAGGAAGATTATCAGCTAATTGAATTTGTAAACGAAGTTTTCTTAATTTACTATTAGTACCCTACAAAAAAAAATAAAAAATAAAATAAAGAATGATTATAATTTTGATATATTATTCAAATCAAAGTTATAATCGATCTAATACAAAAAATCTTTTAAACCGATACAACTCAATAAGAACTGGTGGCTCGTTATGAATTGGTTACTGGGGGGTGATTTCAAAAAATATTCATTTTCTTTTTGTACTCAGCATTTTTTTACAAATCATATTATAGTCGTTTATATTTGTTCGATTCCGTTTTGATTGTGCTTTTACAAAAAAAAGAGTGAAGTCTACTTCGCTCAAAAAAACTTGCTCTCAACAAGTTTTATGAAAAAAAAAGTGATATATCTATAAAAATATTTTTCAATCGATAAAGATCGACTGATCAGATCGGTTCTTACTTCTTCTTTTGGTTCAACATATAAAAGTAAATTATTAACAATATCCATTATTGTACGATATTGTGACTAGATAAAACAACAAAAAGAAATTATCAATATAAAATAAATCTAATCAACAAACTGAATTTGTTGATAATTGAATATCATTATGAATAAATGTTAATGAATCAACAAGTAAACGATCACTTTCACCAATTGGATTTGATTCATTTATAGATGGTTTTATAAATGGCTAAACAAATGAAATGAATTACTTAACAACAACAAAAAACAAAAAGATTTTTATTCTTCTTTTTATATACCGGAATAACAAGATTTGTATCAGTTTCTTCTTCTTGTTGAGTTTGTTCAGTATAAAATACATATGATAAATTTGCATTTGATTTTGATACAATACATTGAAGTTGTTGATCACCATAACCATCATTTGTTGCTATACTTCCAATAACACTTCGTGATGATTCACCTAATAAAGAATTTTCATCACGAATATCACGTTGAGGAATCCAAATAATATCATCATCTGATGATAATAATGCATTATTTGTATTATCGATTGTTGATAATGTTGATGTTGATGAAACTGTTGTTGCAAAATATTGCATACCTTGTAGATTACCATGCCATGATGTTTTATCACATAATTGTTGATCACGCCAAACAGGTTTATGACGATATTGATCAACTAATGCAATACCAGCTGATAATATAACATAACCACGTGATTCAATACCACGTAAAGCTATTTGACCATCACCTAATTCAATATGTAATGTATGTTCTTCAACATCATCTTTTGTACATTGACGAAGACCAACTAAAGATACAGATGCATCGACAACCTAGAAATAAAATAAAATGATTCATCAATTATTTCTTTTAGAAAAAAATGTTTTTTCTTGTTCTTCATAATGAATTCTAAAATAAGAAATAGTTTATTAATAAGATTTATCGATTGAAATGAAAAATATATGCAAGTTTTTGAAGTAATGACTTTTTTTTTAGTTGTTATTAAAGCATACCTTAGAAATTCTCAGATTATTTTTGTTAAAATGATGTAAGATATATGATCAGCGATACGCATTAATTATATTTTCATTTATTAGAAAATTTATTTTGTAAATCAAAAAGGATATAAGCTTTTTAGCTGAGTAGAAGATCCGATGAGGAAATCTCACCAAGTTTTAAATCACTTTTCAATAATCAAGGCGATGTCCATTTGATAAAAACTAATGAGTAATAGGCAAGTTAAGTATGATTTAGTTTTTTGTGCCTGCGTTCTTGAACTATTGAAATGTCGCTGGTTTTTTTTTAACAAAAAGTTGTGATGCACATCTTAGATCACTAGAGAGCACGGACAAAAGTTCTCACGGAGATTAGTTCATCAGATAAGTTATCGCTTTTCTAATATTTCTTATTTTGATATATTAGACGTTCGAAAGTCTCTTATGTATACAAGCGAATTCTGTTCCTATATTTACAATTTCAAATTAGAAATACTAGAAAACTTGAAACTTGATACATTCAATTCTTCTTAATTTTTGTTGAAAAACTCAGCAAAAATTCCGATATCTTGAGAGCATAGACCTGAAAAATCGAGTTATTCTGAACTTTTCTATTACTCTCTAGCATTCGTCAAATGAACATCGTCGTGTTTGAAAAACGATTTGAAACCTGAAGAGATTTCCTCGTAAGCAAAAGTTAGTAAATAGATAAATCTTTGCAAATGAATAGTTCGGTATATGTTGTAAACTTATTTAATTTGAGATAAAAGCAAACACTATCACCTTGTTTATATTTCTTCATACTTATATTAACCAAATCACATTAATAACTTAAACATAGAATGTTTGCAATAATTTTTCTTGTTCACAAATGTATTCATTATGAGTTTTATACAACTCATAGGATACAAAATACTAAGATTAAGACTACGTCCAAAAATTGGTGCATAGTATTTTAGTACAGAACGAAAAACTACAAAAAAGAAAACACACATTTGAATTCCAAACAAATTATGAATAGTCAGTGGGATGAAACTGTTGTAATTATTTATTTTTCTTCTATAGTTTTTCGACAAAAAAATTAATCAACATGTTATTCATATTATTCAAACCGAATAAAAATCTTTGGTAGACTATTGGATATAATGTATACTATGCCAGCTATAGTTTAACACTTAAACAGTCAACTATATTCTGACTGTTCGTCTACCTCGATGTACCAATAGTTGTTTTCTAACCGATGATATACTGCCGGCATATCGAAGGTAGTATAAAAGATGATCGGTTATGTTTTACACAAAGAGAATTGGTCTGTTTCTATACTGAAATACAGGAGAAACAAAATCGACATGAAATTTGTGTCCGATGCGATTTTTTACAGTTACAAATCCATGCAAAAAAAAAACTTGGTAATATTCAACTAAGGTTTGCAATAGAACTAAACATGGTTGGGTGTAAACTCAATAACTTGACAACGGCAGCAGCTATTGATCTGCGATTTCTAGCAATAGAAAGGAAGGTTTTTTTTCTGGTACTATATAAGACAGAATTATTTTAAAACTCATTATCGTCATAAAAAACATTCAAAAGTATGGATGAAAATGATGGTTCGTAACAGGAAAATTTTGATAAAAAGTCAAAAAATTTACTAAAAATCATCAGCGTTCTATAATAAATGATTTTGTTTGTTCAACATTAACATATGAGAAAATAATCATCTGATTCGTGTCTTGAACTATAGATCTGAAGTTTCTCTATTTAAAGCACATGTTCCTCGAAACCGTATACCGTTTTCATGAAGTTTTATGAAAATTTTACAAAGATAATGAGTTTTTTTTAATAATACTGGTCTATATTATATCAAACAAAAAGATATCTGAAGTTCTATCCTTTCGATTTCTGAAAACTATGAATGGATAGTTGTTGCCGTTGTTGATTTATAAAGTTTACATCTATTTCTATTTAATTTTGACATGAAAATTATACTACTAATGAAATATGTTAAATAGAATAAAACTAAATGATTAGTATTCTATTCTAAAATTTTTAAACTTAATTAAATACTAACGTACAGGATCAAGATCAACACTTGGTTTATGTTGACTTTCATTAATAAGTTGATCAAGAAATGAAGCTAATGTTGATGGTTGTGAAGTTGTACCATTTGTTGTTACAGTTACTGATGTTGTAGTTGATGCTGCTGCTGGTGGTATTGTTGAATTTAATTCATCATTTATAGTTATATTATCATCCGATGGTGATGGATTTGATGGTGTATTAGCATTTTTTTCTTGTTGTAAATGTTCAAGTTCTTTAGCAAATGGATTTGAAAGATTTGAACGAAGTATATTATTTCGACGATAACGTTCATAAACAAGAAAAAGTGTACGACGATTTTTTAAATTCCAAACAGCTTTTAATCCATCGATTAATACTGAATGTGTACTTGTTTTACTATTTGTTGATGGTGAACGTATATAAACAAGACTATCTAAACTAAGAAAAAATGTTCGTTGTTGTTGTGGTTCTTGTTTATTATCAGATTTATTTGATATTTCATTTATTTCTTTATCTTCATTAGCATCACGTAATAACCACATTTGTGCACGTTCTAAATTAACATTCATCATTTTTGGTTTCCATAATATTCTAGCACGTCGTGATAGACCATCATGATGATCAATTAAATGTAATTCTTGATATGTTATAAAATTAAATAAACGACAATCAACTTGTGCACCAGTTTGACGTGCAAATGATGTTAAATATTTAACACGAAACTGAGGTAAAATTAATTGTAATTCAGCAGTTTGATAATGACGAGATAATAGAGGTTTACGTGGTGGAACAACAGTTTCACCTGGTGATAAAAATAAACGTCCACGACGCGTTGGTCGAGTTATTGACATCATTGTATTCTATGAAATAAGAAAAATGAAATGAAATCGATCTTGGACTAGACATATACAAATCGTATGAAGTTTTTGGAAGCCGTTCAATAAACAAGAATCTACCAATAATTTCTTTGGTAATTCAACATTCTCAACAGGCCTTTATTCTATATACTTAATTGGTTCTTTTTTGTTCGAAAGAACATGTTATGATGCAAGGTATGGTATAGCTTTTTTTATTTCAAATTATTATTGTTTAAGTACAGAAAAGGGATGAATGGTTCAATGTTTCAAAAAATAAGTAGCACTCTCTTGACATGCTCTTTCATATAAAACAAAAACAAAGTTATTTGCTACAATGAAGTACTTTCGAGAATTCTGGAATATCCGATCAAAAAAGCAGCAAAACAAGACGAACATTTTAGGAAAAAACCATGTCATTTACGAACGATCAAACCTAGGGCTATCTTTTTATGCATTTATTTCAATTTTTATGTTTTTCATGAAAATTGACTTATTTTTTTCTTTTCAAATCTTACCTTAACACCTTCACAAAACCGCAATGTACTTGCATAGATAGTACATGTTGGTGGTGTTTCACCTTCAGGTACGTCTTTACATTCAAATTTAGCTGTTACATTCAAATGAAGTGAACGATATAAAGCATAAGAATCATATGACTAGAAAATAAAATAAATATTTTTTTTAATTATATGATCTATAAAAATCAAGATCAATGTGTGATCAGAATACATTAATCTGACATCATAAATAAATATCAGACTGACTTATCAAAATATAATAAACATCATTTCACACACAAGTTCTGACAGGAAGAATTGAACATGAGTAGTTCGAATTCAAATATCTTAATCCCATTCAACTAAACATACCTCTTGTTTTTGTCTTGATTTAACGGCATCACGTGTAGCAAGTCGAACAGCATTGTGATCATTTGGATTACCAGCACACAACCACTTGAGTGATATTCTATTCACAAAAAATAAACTTTAATTAGTTATATATTTATTTTTTTTTTCTTTTATATTGAACCTTGTATCAACATTTGGTAAATAAAGTAAACAACAATCATCATATTTTGAACTTGTTCTTAATTTAATAGAAAGACTTGATGCTTTTATTATAAATTTTCCATTTGTCCAATCAACATATGCTTGATCCCATACCCATTCCATTTCTTCAGTATCATTATATGGATTTGAACCAACATGATAAAGCCATGACATTTTATTTGCAGCAAATGACCATCGACCATGAAGATAAAGACGAATTTTATCCCACCATGGAAGTAATGAAGAAGGATCTACTGTACGAGGTGTTATACTATTTAAACATAAATTAACTTGAGCTATGGTATTTTCCCACTAGAATAAAAATTTATTTTTTCTAAGTGTATCATAATTAAATTAGAATCATTAAAATACACTATTAGAATGAAATTTGTCAATAAACAATAATTTTAATGGTGAACTTTATCCTTAATATTAATATGACTTGTTTCTAATGAACTGTATCAAAGCCGAAGTCAAAGTGTTTTTTTTTTATCAAAACTCTTTTTAGTCATTTTTGAAAAATCATCCGACAAGAACTAACATTTATATTAATAAAAGCTGTTCATTTTTTGACTGATTGGTTTACTTATTTATTTCTCTAAAATGTTTAAGACGTCGCTGAACTATCCTGAAAATTTCTTGGAATCGAAACTGGAGTCACAGAGTGACAATATCTAGAATTGGAGTCGGATTGTGTAATCGAAAAAATTGGCCTCCGCAGTTAACTACTTGTTTAGTATTTTCAAAATTAAAAGTATCCAAAACAATTGATCAGATCTGTCATTCTAAACTCATTGGAAATTCACATATAGATGCTAATGATCAAATAAATGATATCGGATGTGTATTGTCTCTCTATATTCTTCTTCATTGTTGCTGCATCTTATTGATTTTTTTAAAATACAATCTTACGAAACAACTAAATAATATATTTAAATTGTTCTTCGTTGTATTTTCTTCAAAAGTCCGTCTGAAGGTGGAAGTATTCGTGCGTAACTGTCCAACTCTTGATCAAATTTATTGTGTTGTTATCAGACACAATGAACGAAACAATTACTTTTATCAAAACTATGATTGCTCTTTTATACTATTCATTAATAAGTTTATAGACATAACCGTAGTTATTGTATTAGAACTGCAATTAAATTTTTTTTTTTATAACACATTGTTCAAATTAGTCAACAGAAAATCTTCGTATAAACTAAATTCTTATTGTATGATAAAATTCATTCATTTTAAAAATTATTTCATATTTCAAGTCAACAAGATATATTTTGAATAAAAAGATTATAATCAAAATTTAATATAATCTATTCACTTACAGCTGGTCCAAAAGATATAACAAAAGAATCAATATCTGAATTAATATCATGATAAAATTTTAATGGTGATAAAAGTCTTTGAACTTGAACTCGACTTGGTGAATAAGGTTCACCAATATCAATCCAAGGTGTTCTTATAGAATCTAAACTATCTGGTGTAGTTTCAGCTGCACAAATATGTCCCCAAAGATGAAATTGTTGCATTTGCCATAATGGTTGTCGAAAATCTCGAAAATGTATTGACCAATCATCACATTTTAATATAACATAACGACACCATATTGTACATAAATCACTTGTATCAATTGGTATTCTTGGACTATCATAATCAATACGATGTATTATATTTAATATATTTTCTTTTCCTGTCCATGATTGATCAGCTAATGCAATTAAATCAACTTGTCGTAAATGCCAACGTATTAAATTACGTTTTATTCGTTGATTATTTTCATCATAATTTGTTTTTTGACAACGTTTTATATATACACGTGAATTAGCTTCCATTAAAGCTTTTTTTAATTCATTTATATTATTTAATGGTTGAGATATTTTTTCATGTCCATCAATACGATGTTGTAATTCTTGTTCACGTAGTTCACGTTCATGATATTCATCAGCCATTAACTGGAAGAAGAAAAAAAACAAAAACATAAACGATAGAAATATTAAAATATTATCTTTTGTTTTTTTTTTTTATTTACACAATAATTTTGAAATAATTTAACTTCAAATAAATCATCAATTATAGTTAATTCAAATTCCTTGAGAAAACAAAAAGAAAAAAGAATCAAATGAATCAATTCAAAATAAATAAACAAACATTTATTTTTATTGATAAATCTGTCCAAACTTCATTTGATATAGTATGTTTTGGAACTTGACTTAAAAATGTTGATGACATATCACCATTAGTTTTATGAAGACGTTTTAACCATTTACGAATATTAATAAACTTAAGAAAAAAAAAAAATAATAATAATAAAATGAAAATTTTTATTAAGGTTTTTTTTTTTTTCAAAAGATAAAACCTTTTCAATAACTTCATTAAATGTTGAATCAAAAGGAAAATGAATAGAAAATGAATTAATTTGTAATAGACTAGCTCGATTATGAAGCATATCAAGTGAACCAATTGTTTTTTGTAATAAAATTCGTTCTGTTGTTAAAATTTCGGATTGAATAAGACGTATAAATGATATATCCTATTTTAAATAATAATAAAAATAAATATTTATGTAAATATAAATATTTTCAAATTGAAATTTACATGTACAACAAAAAGACATTGTTGTTGCCAATCGACTGTTAATTGTGAACATTTTAATTGCATTTGTGTTTCATTATCAATTAAACTATTACGTACAAATCGAGATGAAAATTGATGAAGTTCTAATAGAATCCTAAAGATTGAAAATAAATAGAATAGAATGATTTTTGATAACAAAAGTATTGAATATTTTATGACTATTTTTTTTTCTTTATTGTTGTTTACGAATACGTCTAGAGATCTTGTTATTTTTCAAATCAATTGAGAAAAAATAGATAGATAATCAACTAGGATCTATTCATATTTTTCTGTAATCGAATCGATCACATTTATGTTATAAATTGCTCTTCGAAATTATTATTTTCATTAACTATATACCTTTGACAGATGTTTCGGAAGTGCCACCAATTAAAGAATTTTATAAATATAGTGTTTACCTTCCTAATATCTCAGTGATATGGTTTGATTCACTGAATAGCTCACTCTTTGTGAAGAATCGTTTGATTGGACTTATTGAGTGAGCAAAAGCAATATTTGCTCCATGTCATTCGAGTAATAGGAAAAAAAAGGAAGAAGTGTACCAACAGAAATTAATGTCAAATGGATACACACTATTTCAAATTCTCGTAAGTCGAAGTTTTTAATTCATCTATTAACTTTGCTCTAATTTCTCTTCAGCTTCCTAATATTAGCTACATGATCAATTGTACATCTTAGTATTTGTGATTCGTCGAGTTATCATAATGCTTTCGAAACATATCTTACTTCCTATTAGGCTTTGTCATCGAATTATATCACGTAGAAATTGTTAAAAAAAATCCTATTGAGTGTAGGTAGATAATATTTTGTTTCGAAAAATCCGAATTTTTTTCAATTTTTCAAAGTTATTGATTTCGTAAGCACGAAATTTTAAAGACGTATTGATGAAATAAAATTCTTTTTACTAATCGATAGTTCATGACAATTCCAGATAGTAGTAATTAGCATTAGTTCTCAAGGAATATAAGTGTTAATTAAAAAGATACGATAATAGATATTTTTTTTAGATATATACGTTTGCACTTCAGCAATTGGAACGGTTAGAAAAGTCTGCCGATTTATTGAATAAATTCTTTTCAAAGTATCGCTCGATAGTCAGAAATATTAATCATAGTCACTAATTTTCTCGTATGCATGAGTTTGATTAAAAAAGGAAACAAATTCAAACATGAAATAGAATTTTTCATTTTAAGATTTGTTTCAGTATTCAAGTCATATTTATATTTAATATGAATCAACTTTGAAACAGTCTTCTCTAAGTCAAAACTAAGGTCATGAAAGTACTTTTTTTTCTTCTATTTTTGATTCAAGTATAATGACATAAAAAAAAAACATTTGTTTATCTTATATCGAATTTTCCAAAAAAATAAAAATTGTTTTCAAATGATTATGAATCTACAAGGATTATACATGTGTAAAAACTAGAATAATTTTTATTATTATTTAATCTTTGTATAAAATGAAATATTCTAAAAGAAATAAATCGAATGATTGTTATATTATTAATTCAAATTATAAGAAAGTTTTTTCTATATAACCTGCTATCAGTTGATAATTGTAAATGAATATGAGCACATTTATCTACTTTAAATTCAATATCATTTGCTATTGTTTGATTTTTATTATTATCATCATTATTTGATACTATTGTTGTTTTATCATTATTGAATTTTAATGATGATATATAACGATAAAGAAATAGATAAAGTTTAGTTGATAAAACAAATGTTAAATCATGTGGAACAGATATTTTTATCGTATAATTATTCTACAAAGAAAAAATGGTAGCAAAATATATATACATATATTATAAAAAGACAAAATTTTTGCATATTTACTGGATGATGTTGAATAGAAATACGACGAACATCAAATATTTTTTGACCATGTGTTAATGAAGTTAATGGCTACAACAATAAATTGAAAAAAGAAAAAGAAACGAAAATTTAAAATACAAACAATTTTATCCGATGGTTGATTATCAAAATATATTAAATTTTTTTTCATTTCTATTTGTGTTCGACTTGCACGTATTGTTGATATTGATAAACATAAATATACTGACAAAAAAAAAAGTATTTTACCTATTTCATATGATATATTATTTACCGGGCACAGTATCACATATAATTATTGTAATAGATTTCATATGTAAAGATATTTCATTAAAACGATTAGAATTTATTTTTGATTTTTTTGATGAAGATAAAATTATTTGTAGACGTTTTAAAAAAGATATTAAAATATGATTTGATTGTAAACGTATTCCAATGATTTCAATTTCCACATGTGTTGTATATATTTTTGAGATCTATCAAATGCATAAAAAACAAAGCAATGCATATTCTTAATTAAAATATTCAATTTTTTTTTATTCATACAGTTATACTAGCATTTGGTAAATATAATAGACAATACCATAAATGTTGTCTACTAAGATCATCAATTAATGATTGAGAAAAACTATCATTATTATTTGATGTATATATTAACATGTTTTTTAATTCGATTAATGTTCTTAAAAAAGAAAATAGATATGTAAGTTTAAAGTTACTGTCTAGATGTTTATAACTAGGAAGAATCTTAAAAAGAAAAACATTTGAGTAGTAGCTGAAAAGTTTCTATATCAGTATTGGTAGAGCTCAAAACTTCAAAAGACTACTTGGATAAGCGAAGACTTTCGAAGTTGATTTTCTGGCATCCATTTGTAACTTTTTGAAAACGCTTTCATTTAATCGAGCGAAATATGATGTTTCAGTTCTCTTCGTCAAACTGCATTCAATTTACAGAAGACTTAAAAACCATTTTTCTTTTTTTTTTCTTTCTATGAAAGATTTCAAATGTTTTCGTTATGGGAAAATGCGAATTTCATCGTACTGACTTTCGGCAATGGCGAAAATTGTGTTTTTGTAGGACTTTCGGCTGTAAACAGGGGGACCTTTGGCAATAGCCAATAGTTCACTTTTGGTAATTATCAGAAATCTTATTAAAAAAAAAGATTAGTCAACTAATTAATCATAGTAAAGAAACTATACTTTTGTCAATTATTTTATTTAGTGAACTTTGAGCGATAGATGATCCCGAATTCTTATAAAATCACACTTAGCATCGCGATACATTCTCTTACGCACCTCTTCCATGATCAATTCAAACTGTATGTGTTATTAGACGATATCATCACTCATAAGGTCTACTAATATTGTTTAAGGACTTCCGGAAACTTGAAATCGCACAATGCCCAAAGTGTGGTTTCTTTACTATAATTAATTAGTTGATTAATATTTTTATTAAGATCTCCGATATTTGACGAAACTGAACTATTGACTATTGCCAAAGATCCTTCCTGTTTACAGCCAAAAAATTTACAAAAACACAACTTTTGACAATTGCCGAAAGTTAAGTGTGAAAGTCAGTACGACGAAATTCATGCTACCCTCGTTATGTTTGATTATTTGGCACCTTCTATGAATTGAATGTAGTTCGATGAAGAAAGTTGAAGCATTACATTTCGTTTTTTTCAGATTCTTCGTAGCTGTTATCATCGAGAAGATAACTCAAACATACAACTATTCTGAGTTTTTGTTCGTCATTATAGATAATATTTACTTTGTTTCTGAATTTTCATTAGAATGAAAACTTAATTTGAAAAAATTTATTTGCCAAATAAACAATTCATTAATATCGTTCATTTTTAAACGCATAAATGGATTTAAAAATTGAAATGATATATCTATTTGTCGATCACATTTCCATGTACTAAAAAAAATAATATTTAATATTAAAATTTAAGAATTTTGAATTAATTTACTTATTAGATGATGTTGATGATCGAGAGGATAATAATGTATGGAATTGTTGAATAGTATCTTCACATAATTCAATATTAAGTTCATTGAATTGACATGCAATATCAAGACGAGTAGGAAATATCTATATGAAAAATAATTCATAAAATTAACGTAATTTTATTTCATTGTGTTTTTTTTTGAGATATCCTTATAATATAATTGTTGTTGATAAAAAAAAGGGCTGAAAACATTCAAATTACAGTTTATAGTTTTTTTTATGATTTAGATATTTTCATAATAATATTAAATTAGCAGTAAGTAACAATTGGATATGATAATGTAATTAAACTATAAAATGAAGAGTTGTCGCTTATGTAAATTTCTAACAATGAAGTCAATTAATAAATTTACATCAATAAAATCGTGCTAGTTCAATCAAATAGAATATAATAGATGTAAATATTCCAACAGCTTTATATAGAACTTCTTTTTCTGATTAAATAGTTCTTCATAATATATATTAAATAATTCTATTAGATCATAGCGAGTTTCATAGATGTCAAAGTTCCAAAATTCGTTATTTTCTAATTGATATTTTCTTTCAATTCATTTGAAATCAATAAAGAAAAAAAAAGTACAATTTGCTCTTGTTATTATTACGACAGACAAATGTATAATAAAGGCAAAAAAAAAGAGAATTGAGGTCGATCAGTTCACAATTCACATCAAATGAGTAAAAGAACTGTTCGACATTAAAATCAATTCTACATGTAATTAGAGAATCTTGTTCAACAGTAGTGTCCGAACTTGTTGACAAAAAAAAAAGAAGTTATTTCTATGTAAGGAAAAATATTTAATGTATCGGAATATTAGCTTTCTATCGAAGACTTCTATAAAGTTCAATTGAATACTAACTGTTATTTGACATAAGCCATGGAGAAGAAGAGTTGAATGAGAATGAAGACGGATATTGGCGATATATGCATGTTGTGTTTGAAGAGATCCATTTGAAGAATTATGGAACGAAAAATCAACTTTGTCAAATGTATGATAATGAAGAGCATTATCTCTAAATAATGAAAATGATTTAAAAAATAAAAAATAAAATAAAATAAAATCTACATTGATCTATATTGTAAATCAATTTGTCTAATACATATATTAATAAATGGATCATAAAAAAATTCAACCCATTGATCAAATTTAATTAATAAATTATTTGAATGTGTTGTTTGAGTTATTGATAATAAATTTGGATCTTCATAAAGAAAATTTGATGTTTCACGTTGATATTGTTGTACAGTAGAATGAGTTTGTTTTTGTTTTAAATAATCAAATAATTCTAAAAGAAATATAATTGTACATATTTCTTCCTGTATGAAATAGAATACTGACTATAATCTAACTCAATAGACCAATGAGTTGAATTAATGAGTAAATTTTGATCAAAATTAGTTTGTATTTCAACACTATGCCATGTTGATTTTAATAATACAAAAGATGAATTATTAGAAGAAAACTGTTCTATTTTATCAATAATTGATAATTCAATATATTCACAATTAATCCATGTATCAGAACTAAAAACAAAAACACATAAGAACTTAAATATGATTACTTAATTTATGATTTATCTTAATATTCAATTTAATATGTATAGAAGATCTCATAATGTATATGAACACAGAACTTGTTTTTTCGTTTTACTTCATTCCATTAAAAAAATAGATTATGAAATTAAATAAACTATTGTCTATATATCTTAATTAAACGGCTGAAAATCTTTTTAAATTGTTTTTGATAATACTAATCTAGATTTTATTCGAATAAGTACAAACACTTATTAACTACTTTTTTAAATTCATCAGATGTAGTTTTCTTACTACCAATTCTTCTTAATATAATGGTCAATATTACAAATATATAGAGCTGAGTATAATACAAAGAATTCAAAAAAAACAAAAAGCTATGAATTCTTAGTTTTTATTGATCGATAGATTATCGTGACAGATATTAACTGTAATAGTAGCATAACATTGTTCTACGAATTTCATAAGAATGTCTCATACTATAGTTTACTGCCATATAAGTCATCAAATCATCTTACACAAAATTTCCATGCATTTGATATTTAAACTAATAGCTTCATTTTTACGTATAAATAAATGTTTTAGTCACGGCTTCAATTTTCTGGAATAGAATCATAGTTGCTACATATCAAATGACTAGAATTAGCAATAATTTTCAACGGTTCTTTTTGTGTTCTTAGTGAATTACTCGAGAATTAAGCAAAAGATTGATGATGAAATATATCTCAGAAAAAAAGACGGGATAAAATAATCTTCTTGTATTAATAATGACTTTTACAGTGTATTTCACATGTTAATTGTGTAAAGATTTCACTAAAAGGTTTCTCAAACTTAAACTCAAACAATTTTCTTAGAGATAATCTATAGTACATGTATTATATTTCTATTGACTCGACTCATATGAACAAGCTATAATTTAATTTGTATAGAATTAATATAATGATTAAAACATTTATTCATATATTGACTTAAATATTAAATGCATGATACTCTTGTGTAGGATGAATATAATGATTGATATCATTATTCAAATTTCTCATGAGATTCTTACAACACATTATACTATTACTAAGTTTTATATATTGCAAGTTTCACTTTGATTTATTCAAATATCATACTCTAAAAACTCAATTCTTTGTCAAATTCTACAACTATAATGAAATCTCCATATCGTAAAAGTTCATAGACATATAGTTTTTTGTTTTCAACTTTTTCGCATCATAATCATTCGTTGTTTTTTTTTCTCTCTGATATTAGAAATGCGTAATATGTTTCATTTGATCGAACTTCGTGATATTCTTATCGAGAATAATTATCTCAAAATTAATCAAGTGAAATAATTAAATTTCTAATATTTAAGACATAATAAAAACTGTTAAGATGACTTTTTTTTTACAATTACTTTGTAGTGTTAGGTGTAGCAGATGGATGTAATGTAATATGATGAAAAAAAATATTTATATTTTCATATTGAATTTGTAATTGTTCAATTCGAATAGATACATACTGAAAATAAAATCTTTTCTAATTTTTTTATTTCAAAAAAAAAACAAAAAGCAAGCCTTTACTTTAAGAAAATATAATTTTTTATGCCAATCTTTTTTTTGTTTCTTTTTATTAATAATTTTATTTTTAATTGAATTAATTTTTAAATGAATATTATCTATTGATATAATTGGTAAACGTAAAATAAATATTGAAAATGATGATAAAAAATTAATATATTTAATATGAAGATGAAATAAATTATGATTTATATCGAAATTTTCTATACCACCAAGACCAATCGAACTATATTTTATATTAATTTTATGAAACCATTTGAGATAAATTAGAAAACAACTAAATAAAAATTTATATATAACATAAAAAAACCAACTAATCTTATTTTATTAATAATTACCGAATAATTAACCATATAATGAAAAGTATTGAAATGAATCCGATAAAAATTAAACCAAAAGCTCCTCCAAAGATCATATTTTTTTGTGTTTCATATAGCTTCTTGAAATACGAAATGCGAATCATGGATTTCTTTTAATAACCATACGAATTGAACAGATGTCACTTATTATCATAAATATATATTTAACAATTTATATTTATTTTTCATTTAAAATCTTACTTTTTTATGAAAATTTTTATTATTTTAAAAAGAAATCTTTCAAAACAAAAAGAAAACATATTGTTTTTTTTACAATAAACTTAATAATCTTCTTTAAATATGATTGGTGATTCAAAAAACTTTTAGTTTTTCTACACACTTGTTTATTTAGATATTTCATTCTCAGATTTAACATGATAATAATTTTATTTTAGATCTTGTGTACTAGTGAATTAATTATAAATATGACTACTAAAGATCCAACAAGTGGTAAAATTCCAGCTCAAGCTGGTGCTGGTGAACAACAAGAATATAAAATTCGTATAACATTAACATCTCGAAATGTAAAATCACTTGAAAAAGTTTGTGCGGATTTAATTCAAAAGGCAAAAGATGAAGAAATACGTGTTAAAGGACCAGTTCGTATGCCAACTAAAGTTTTACGTATAACAACACGTAAAACACCATGTGGTGAAGGTTCAAAAACTTGGGATCGTTTTCAAATGCGTATTCATAAACGTGTTGTTGATTTACATTCAAAATCGGAAATTGTTAAACAAATCACATCAATTAGGTTAGAATAAATTATATTTCTTTTGTTTTTGTTTTTAAATTATATTTATTTCTTTTTTTAGTATTGAACCAGGTGTGGATGTTGAAGTAACTGTAGCCGATACTTAAATGAAAAATGAAACGATTTAAAGATTGAAGAAAAGATATTAACATCTAATTTGTCTTCTCTTCTTACTATTATTATTATTATTGTTGTTTTTTTGTTAAATTCATATCGAATAAAAGAAAATACAACAAATTTTTAGTAACAACATAACAAGTGATTTATAAATTTAGTTTTTTTTTGTCAATTCAATAGAAGATAAAGAAATGAAAGATTTTCATTTATTATCGAATATTTATATTGTTTTTAGAATGAAAAGGTCAAATAAAATAGTTTAGTGTCATCATTACCTTCGGATCTTTAAATTATGTTCATTTATTTCATCTAGAAAATGAAATTACGGATGACGTGTTCATCATCAACTATCTAGATTATTTTCTTAGATTATAATCAAGATTAGAGAAGCTAATGAAAGATTAATAGATAAAAATATGCCTTTTGTTTTTTCTTTTTAAAGCAATAATACTTCGTTGTATTCTTCTAAAAGAAGATTTTGAAAAACTTGATCTATTTTTAAATTGAATATCAACCTCAATTATTTCTTCTATGACTAAAAACAACTAAGTTTTTATGATGAATGATGAATATGCATGAAAAAAAAAAATAATACAATATTTTTCAAATTAATAAATATTATTTAGTGATGAGTAGGGCAAAGTAAAACCGAAAAACGTTTGCTCTATTTAAGATATACTCATTGGACTAGATTCATTGAAAAATTAAATTAGAATTTCAACCCGAAATTTTATTTACTTAAACTCTGATAGTCATTTAAATATTACAGTCAAGATGAATGTAGTTTTTGAGTGAGATAAGAATTTCTTGTTATTCTTGAAAAATTCTTTTTTTCGTATTCAAATTTATTAAATTCAATCATTAATACAATTTGATTTATCATAAACAAATGATTATTAATCTATATGTTTGTGGACTTCCGTATGAAAATTTATTTTGAGCATTATTTGCTTTAGGCTATTAAAGTCATTAGTCAATGACGCACTTTAGTTTTTTGTACTTTTTCCGTTCAATCTACAATGTCGTCTATTTATTTATGAACGATATTTTAACAATGTTTGTTTAATTAGATAAAAAATAAAAATTTGTCCATGTAAAAAAAAGAAAGTTTTGCTGAATAAAAATTAACGAGGATAACCATAAACATATCCATAATAATTATATTGCATTGGTGGAGGATAAGGTTGATAATGATAATGTACTTGTTGATCATGATGATGTCTGTGTTGATCATGATAATCAGCCCAATATTCTTCTTCATAATATTCTTCAGATTTTTTGTCACAAGCAGAATCTTTTCTACCTTTACCTGAATGTCTACGAGCACCAGCACGTGCTGCTAAACCTGCAGCGGCTGCACCAGCAACAATCAAACCAAAAACCATTGCTTATCGAAGATAGTCAATAATATGTTTATGAAAATATGAAAATGATTATTTTTATTTTGCGCATCTTGTCAATATATAGGCGGTCATGTCGATTATTCATAATCATTTCACATAAAAGCAAAAAAGCTAATAGGGCAAGAACAAGAAAAAAAATATATGTATGACCCACGCATCTGAAAGATGATTAAGATAGGTGATAATGCATCAATCGAAAAATAATGATGAATAAGGTATTTTATTGGATACGGTCTAAATGTTCTGTAAACACTCCCCCGTAAATTTTGTTCTTAGAAAACATATTCTTGAATAAAAAATTTCTCATATTAAATGCCTTCGGTCAAAATATTTATGAGAAATAATCCCTCATATAAAAATGTTCCAGCAAAAACATTATTGTTTTTTTTTGAGACGTTTTATTACTGAGAGGTAGATGAGTATGTGTGTGTAAGTGGATGAGTGATGATAGACAGAAAACAGATACTGATACTTCATGCATCTAACTGGTGCAATATTTGATAGTCAATAATGTTATCTCAAGAATAAAAAGTTAGGAGTATGTTTGACGAAACATTTTGACAAAAACTTTTTCGACTGCTACCAACGTATTTACATAATTATTTATAAAGTTCAGTTCATGATAATAAAGCTCATGCATCAGTAAAAATAGAAACTAATTGTTATTTATGTATTCAAATATAATATGAGCAATAAAATAAATTAATATATGAATTTTTGAAACGTCAGACATATTATTTATTGCAAAAAAATGATCATTTGTATTTTCTACTAAATATTTATTTATTTATAGTTCATCATTCGTTTTGTATTGATATTGTTTTGCATAAATGTCATTCTAAGAATAGATGATCTTGTTGGTATAATCAAATTTTTACTTATAAAAAACCTCATAGGTTATATTGTTTATTTCTAATAATTTCATAGAAAAAATTTTTACTAAAAATGTATAAAAGAGTATGGGTATGAATAGGTATCAGTTATAAACAATGATGATTTCATTGAATATTTATATAATTTAACTAAACAATATTTCATAATGATGATGAATATTATATTTTCTTGAATATTGTTAAAAATATAAGTTTAATATTCTTTTATACATCAGTTCAATTTCACGGTTATTTTTAGACTATTTTCTCTTAGCATGTGTCCTTTTATGAAGTCATGCCTTTTTCAAATCTATATTTGGTCAGTTGAATTGGAAAAGAAAACGACCAAAAAGTACAGGTCATATCGGTCTTCATTCATTCTTGAATAAACATATACTTGTATAACCTTAAAGTATAAGAAAATATTCAGTTGAGAAATTATTATAGATCATGACGAGGCGAACAACAAAAAAGTAAATTTATTTTTAGATGACTATTAAGTACGAAATAGACCGTAGGAAAAAGAAATTAGGTTTACTATGAGAAGTTCTCGCTTTTTTTTCCTTTTCGGTAATTTGTGAAAGATGATGAATTTCTTGGATTTTGAAGAGTTATTACTAAGCCTTTGATGTGTAAAAGTAAAAGTATATTAAAAAGAAATATTATAAAGTCTTGATGATTCTGCGTAAGTTATCTTTTAGTAGAACTTTAATATCAAATTTTGGTATATTTAGTATATATACAAAACATTAAGTGTTTCAGTTGTTTTAAATGTGTTTTTAGAACAATATTTAGAGTATTGAAAAATATTAATAGACGGTGAAGTCACAAGGTTTGAGAGAGCGATAGCCTACTCTAAGTTTGCGCATCGTAGATTAGAATACGATCGAACATTTTTCTGCTAACATCAGATTGATAGACGTGAGTAACAGATCACATTTTTTTTCCTGCAAACAGCAATTTTTTTCTCCGTCTGTAGCAGCTAATAATAGTATGCACTCAATCGAGCAAACTTAGAAAACGTTTTTGTGGAAACATTGAATTTTGTACAAGTAAATACTGGATCATAGATCATCAATGGCTTGAAGTAGGGATCCTTTATTACTAGTAAAGAAAAGTTTTATGAAAAATCTGAGCTAAATTAGCAAGAATCTGCTAAAATGTTCATTCATGTTCAGCGACTAAGGTGAGATGCCTATTAAATATTTATTACGGTGAAGAAGTTCACAACATGGCATTTTATCTTGTGAAACATTTCTGCTTTGCTATGAAACCTTTTTCTGATAAAGCAGATCAAAATCTTTTCTGTTTATTCATGCAAAAAAAAAAGATGAACCTATTGGCTTCAAATGACGAAATGCATGAAACTCTTTTGTAGGATGAGATGATGACTTATATGGTGTTCAAGTTCGTAATAACATTTTCTCATGAGATTCTTAGAACATATTATGTTACTACTAGGTTCTATATACTGCAGTTTTTACCTTGATTTATTCAGATATCATGCTCTAATGTATCTATTCAATTTAAATGGTACGTACTAAAAATAAAATCTTCTCTAATGACTCTATCTTTATTTTGTAAAAATGTAACTTTTTCATTCTAATCTTTTTCTTTTTATCTCTTTTTAGTTGTAATTTTATTTTTAATTGCATTTACACTCAGACCGACCAAACTATATTTTATACTAATTTCATGATACCATTTAATATAAATTAGAAGATAACCAAACAAAGATTTATATACACTTAAACAAGGTGTTTTTCATTTTTATAATTATCGAATAACTAACCGTATAATAGAAAAAATGGTAATAAATTCGATAAAAGGCAATCCAAAAGTTCCTTCAAAGACCAAATTTTTTTGTGTTTTTGTGATAGATAATCCATGGGATCGGTTTTCTTATAATG